TGCCCCGCCCCTTGGAAGAGTGGGCTGGCCATCCCAGGCCAGTGGCATGGGGCACTGAGGCCGGGCTTCCATGCCCTCAGATGTCCCCATGCTGGAGGACGGCGAGGAGGGTGGGGTACGCCTCTGGCACCTGGTTAAAGCCACCGATGAGCCGGAAGGGGCCAAGGCGCGGCGCAGCAGCCTGCGGGAGCGGGAACGGGAGCGCGCTCGGGCCAAGGCCATTCCAGAGATCTACCTCACCCGCCTGCTGTCCATGAAGGTCGGTGGCAGGGGCAGGAGAGCCAGCCCCAGGGAAGGTGCACCCCGGGGCCCCTGCCTGAGCTGGGGAGTGCGCATGGCCCTGGAGGGGCAGAGGGGCAGCCCTGCCCTCTGAGGGTCCCCACACCCTGCCCTCCCGGCAGGGCACACTGCAGAAGTTTGTAGACGACACGTTCCAGGCCATCCTCAGTGTGCACCGGCCCGTGCCCATCGCTGTCAAGTACCTGTTTGACTTCCTGGACGAGCTGGCAGAGAAGCATGGCATCGAGGACCCAGAGACACTGCACATCTGGAAGACGAACAGGTGCCGACCCCATACCACAGATGGTCCATGACGTCCCAGAAGGACAAGGACACTCCCAGGGTGGGGGCGGCAGGCGAACTCCCAGGGAGACCCAGGGCCTAGGTCACCAGGGTTATGAGTCCAGCTTACCACAGACACCAGGGCTGGGGCCCCAGCTAATGGCCTGTGCTGCCTGAGGTCCCCAGTTCCTGCAGGCTGAGTGACGGGGAGGTCACAGTGGACAGCAGCAGGCCAGGTCGTCACAGCCACACCCACCCTGTGTCCCCAGTCTGCTGCTGCGCTTCTGGGTGAACGCCTTGAAGAACCCACAGCTCATCTTTGACGTGCGGGTGTCAGACAATGTGGACGCCATCCTTGCCGTCATCGCCCAGACTTTCATCGACTCCTGCACGACCTCGGAGCACAAAGTGGGCAGGGTGAGAGCAAGGCTGGCCGTGGCCCGGGGGGGCTGCAGAAGGAAGGGGAAGCCATGGGGGCTCTGGCACAGAACCCTGGGCTGGGGGGACAGCGTGGGGGGCCGGGAGGTGGCCGTGGTTCCACATCCTGGCTCACGCCGAGCGCCTCCCCCACCCGGAGCAGGATTCCCCGGTGAACAAACTGCTCTACGCCCGGGAGATCCCTCGCTACAGACAGATGGTGGAGAAGTAGGTGTCGAAAGCCATCAGGGCCGGGGGCGGGGGCCAGCCCGCCCCTAACTCTGGCCACTCCTCCAGATACTACGCAGACATTCGCCAGAGCTCTCCAGCGAGCTACCAGGAGATGAATTCAGCTCTGGCTGAGCTCTCTGGGGTGAGGCATGGCCCGGGGCGGGGGGCACACCCTCCGTATCCAGGGGAAAGGCGGACTAGCAGATGGGGGGACTTGGGGCTTGAGGCCCAAGCTGAGGCCTCATTGCTCCCCCCCGTGCTGCCCCAGAACTACACCTCTGCTCCCCACTGTCTGGAAGCTCTGCAAGACCTCTATCACCACATCCACAGGTACTACGACCAGGTGAGGCCCAGGGCACTCTGTGGGGGAGGGGCGCAGCCCCTGCCGGAAGAGCCCCGGCTGGGGAAGGGGCTCGCCTTCCATCTGGATCCCCCAAGGAGGCCCCAGGCAGCCTCCCCTGGGTCCCCAGGCTCCTGCTGAGATGGAAGCAGGACTGGGTGGCCCTAGGCCGGTGGGCAGAGGGGTAGGCCTCCGACGGGCACCCCCCTTGGCCCTGGCAGATCATCAGCGCATTGGAGGAGGACCCAGTGGGTCAGAAGATGCAGCTGGCCTGCCGCCTGCAGCAGATCGCCGCCCTGGTGGAGAACAAAGTGACTGACCTGTGAGCTTGGTCTTAGCAGCAAGCAGGACGCGCTGCCGCAGTGCCTTCCGACCCCCGGACCCAGCCAGTGACCGAGGGGAGCCGGTGGAGCCTGGGGTGCAGGGCGCAACGCCAGGCACTGGACCCAGCAGTGGGTTCCCTGCCCACCTCTCCACCAGCCCACCTGCTTTCCCCCACTTGGGCTTCTTTCTAATTTATAACGATGCCTACCCCTTCCCTCCCTACTCCCCCACTGTATTTATTTGCTTGCTGGAGAATCACATCTGGAAATAAAATAGAAATACATCTTTTTAGAAAAAGCCCAGTGCCCAGTCCCTGCCTCCCCCTGCAAGAGTTGACTCGCTGCTTCCCTGGTCGGGAAGCCTCTTAGGCCCATGGCTGGGATCTGCTGCCCCAGGAAGAAGACAGGCCCTCAGGTGTCCTGGCTCTCCCCACTCCCTCCCTGACCTTCCCCGGCCCCACAGGAAAGCCACCCTTCCACCTTTCCGCCTATGCCTGCTCCGCCTCACCAGTTCTTTCTGGCACAGGGACTCTGCACCACGTGCCTCCCATCTCAGGACAAGCAGTATCTCTGCCAAGCCCCTCTGCTGCGTTCAGGCCCCCGACGGTCCCCGGCTGGCCTCCCAGCCCGCTCGCACTGTCCGTTGCCGTCTCCTCGAAGCAGCCAGAGTGGCCCTTCTAGCGAGCAGAAGTGCTTGCCGGCCTCTGCTGGGTCTCCACGCTGGGCTCCAGCCTCCAGCCCTCTTGTCCTCACCCCCCCACCAGGCCCTCAACTGTGCCCTGTGCTGCTGCGGAAGATTCTGGGGAGTCGGTTCTCCTGGTAGCTCGGGACGCAGCCCCAAGGTGCTCTCTGTTACCATCCCGCTCTCAGGGCAGTGACTGCGGGCCTGTTTGTTCCCGGGAGTGGACGGCTCTCTGCTGTCTCCCCGGTGCCCCATGCGGAGCCGGCCCACGGCGGGCACTTGGCAGATGTGGTGGAGACAGCCTAGGGTCCTGGAGGTAGAGTGCTGGGCCGGCCACTTCCCAGGCCTCCACTTGGCAGGTGGCCACCTCCGGTGGGAGGAACGAGGGGCCCTCAGCTCACGCCCGGCCCCTGCTCCTCTAGGGGTCCCCTGTGACACCACACTCAGGGCACTCAGAGACGAAACACAGAAACAGGCGGGGGGCAGGCAGAGACTGGGGTTCCGATGGGAATGAGGTCACCAAGCGGATCACACCCTTTCGCGGGTGGCCCCCACAGTCAGTCCCGGAGTGCAGCAGCTTGGCCCGGGACACAAGTTGCTCCATCCTCACGTAAGAGTCTCCCTCGGCTGGAGATCCTGTCGCCCCATTGTCCCTGAGCAGCGGCCCCCTCTGCCCCTGAGGCGGGCGCAGAGTGGAGGGGACTTGGCCTGGGGGCCGGGCTCTCCGGGCCGCGTGGCTGCGCCGCCCCCTCCCCGCGCCGCATACCTTGCCCACAGCCGAGCAGCTGGGAGGCTATTTATAAAGGCGGGTGAGATCAGCGGCCGAGGCTATA